TTGAGGAGGTTTTAGGGATTTTCTAGGTTTTTCAAATAAAGCACGTAAAAATAGGGATAAAGGTTGTGTGTGTAGAATGCGTTGAAAGAATTAAATGACATTAAAGAGAGTTTTAACACAAAAATATTTAAAACAAAATCATTTCCCTTCAAATTCAAAGCACAAGTAATTTCAAGCATGCTGAAGAAATTTTAAACAAGTGTAAAGAGTGGTACAGGTGTCAAAAATAGTTTCCATTCTTGTGCACGTGAGAATCAAAGATTTCTTTATGCAAGTTTCTGAATCAGTGATTTTTCAGAGATTATCTTGGATCATAAGTTCTTTACCCAAACTTTGATTGAGACAACTTCTGACTAACAACTGATTCAAATTCTTCATTCAGAATAAAACATACATTGCTATCCTCATAACCCATTTTTGAAAACTGTTAGTTCAGTGAAGAATATAACAAATACATATTTCTTCTGATCAGTAGCAAGGAGGCTTTCTTCAAAATGTTTAAAGAGAACTCTTTGATTCAACATGATACTGATATTATCATAAACAGTGATAATACATAATTTACCATTCTGAAAGTTCTTAAGCTAATTTCTTCCAAGATATCTAAGCATAAATATTACACACATAGAACTACCTTGTACATAAAATTATGCTTGAAATAGAAAATAATTAAAAGAACTTACCTAGATAGAATTTCTAATTCAGGATCTCTAGTCTGTTTTGATGAGATATTTCTGACTTGTTCATGAGCCAACATATTGAGCTATCTTCTTCAAAAGGATAACACCATTGAGAAAGAGACTAGTTGCTTTCAATAGATTCCTTCATCTTTTTTCCACCCTTCTTTTCATACTAAGATGAAAACATACTTTCCCCACAAGATCTTTTTCTGCACCATTGTAAAGTTTTATCCAAAAGAAGAAAAGGAAGTTCACTCAAAAGCCTTTTGAAGAAGATAAGTAAGTTTCCCAAAAAAGGGCTAAGACTGTTAAGAAGACTCTGGAGACTTCTTCTGAAGCACCCTCTGCTGCTACTACTGTTTTTATTGGAACTGTTGTTCCTTTTGATGCTCCTTAACTTACTGCAAAAAATAGTTCACCCACCACTTCATCCATAACCACTTCTTCCATCCCTTCTGTTCTAGAACCCATTTCTCCCAAACCACAAATCTAAAAGATACTTTTCTTAATGTCACCCTTACTTCTGAACTTCAACTTCCAATTTTTATTCTATCATCCTTTGCTGAACTTCTTCTGACCCCTCAACCAACAAACACCACTCACTCTGGCATCTAGGTTAATGTATCACCCTTTGATTTTGATCCTGAATTAGACGATGATCTCAATGTCTACCCAAATAGACCATCTCAACCCTTTGCTAATCAAAACTCTCACAAACTAACATCTGTCCTACTCCCATGGATAAATTGTTTGCATAATTTGAAAAGGATATTGCAGGAAGACTCGATACTTTCATTGACGCTTGAAAAGGTAATGAAAACCTCTCTAAAGTGTGTGAGCTGACCAACGACTTCAGAAGATGGATAGAGGCCAGTTATGAAGAGTTGAAGTTTACATGGATGAAAGAAGCTAAAAGGAAATTTCATGCCAGACTCTCTGGTATTGTTGAACCTCTACTTCAAAAGGTTCTTGCTAGTCCTCTGCTCCCTGCACCAAAAGTGATTCCTCCTTTGTCCCCAGTTTAGACTACAATGGTTGCTTCTGAGTCAACTCTTGGAGTTGCTGGTGAATCTAGCGTTAAGATGACTTTTGATTTTGAGGAGTTCATTCTGAAGAAGTTGGAGTATTTTTCTATAGAGAATTCTAAGTGACGGAAAGGAAAAAAAGATTGAAGGGCTACTTAGAGAGATTCTGTCAAGACTACCCAAACCCTCTGAACCTTAGTTTTGTAAAACTTTGTGTTATCTTTGTTCTGTTTTCTTTTTCTTTTTTGTATCTTCTTGTTCATCATTAATGACATGGAGTTTGGTTTATGTTCTTTGTCTTTTTATTTCTTTTGAATGATGACAAAGGGGGAGAAATGACTGATTTTGATATATCTAAGTTCCATTATGAAAATCCAAACATGTTTCTAACATTTTTCTAACTTGGTAAGTTTCTGATAAATTTGTGAAAGTTCATTTGTATAACCAAGTGTTTCAGGTTCTAAGGCACTAACCTAACTTAAGGATAAGACTTATGTTTAGGAACAAAGTGTTCTTTGAATCGAAGTTGAATCAGGCGTATAAGAAACTAAGTGTTACAAGCTCTGAACAAGTCATAGTTCTGAAACCTGCGCTCTGAACAAGTTCTGATTTCCACTAGAATCAAGTTATACATTCTGACATTCTAAACCAGACTTTCTAACGCTCAAGTAACGAATTCTGAAGGAAATACTTTGTATCCAAGTTTTTGCATTCTGGATAGTTACCTCAACCATTCCAACCATGCTTTTTCCTTATGAAAAAGAGAGTAACCATGCTTCTGTCTGAAGTGAAAGTAGTAACAACCAGGCTTCTGCCTTATAGGAAGTTATTTCTTTCATGCTGTTTTTAAATATTCTATATGTGTTAAGATTATTTTAAGTCTTAAATTCATGGGGAGCTTATAAACCTAACTCTGGAATTCTAAGCTGAAAAATAAATTTTAACAGTATAAAATTTAGGGGGATCCTACAAACCACACTCTATGTTTTTATGTGATTAAACCTCGTAAAAGTTGTTCATCAAAATACATGGTTTTATCATTATTAAAATGGGGGGGGGGGGGGGGGGGATTGTTAAGCCAATATTTGGTTCTGCATCGAACCTTTAGTTTTGATGATAGCAATACATTGATTCTTAGAGAACAATTTTGTACACTAATGGTTTTTGTCTAGTATGTAGCTTTTGTTAAACAGGTTATGACTCTGAAGCTTTGATGTGTGACGTTATCAGACTCTAAAATCAACACACTCTGACTTTGAAGAGATACAAGTGCTTTAAAAGATGATGTCAAGTCATATAAAGCTCTTAGAAAATGGTTCTGAAGAACTTTATGCTAAAGCTTCTGACTGTGACTCTGATTGAAGAGCCTCTGAAGAGTTGTCTACCTTTAAAATTCTACCTCAAGTACTAAAGATTCTGAAAAACAAGATCTGAAGACTCTGAAGATCAGGTTCTAAGGAACTGTGTCAAGACTCTAAAGACCAAGGTTTTGAAGATTAGAAGATAAGTTCAAAAGTTTTTGCATCAGAAAAATAGTACACAATACAAGATCATCCTCGCCTCCATTACCCTAATTTTGTTAGCTAAGGACAATACGTTTGTACCATTTTGCCTCCCATTTGCAAACTGTTATGAAAGAGACAGTTGTATTATGCTATTTCAATTCTACCCTCCAACGGATCATTTATCTGCCTATATAAAGAAGACTTGGACGATTGGAAGATGTTGCTAACGCTGCTCACACTATTGCTTTGCTCAAGTTGTTGAACATACACACTTTGCTGAAATAAATATTATTCTTGTGTATATTCTTTGTAAATAGACATAAAGTTGTTGCTCGTTATTGTGTGAGATATTCATTGTATTAAATTGTGTTAATATGCTTTCTTAGAAGCATCCTTTGGAAACACAACTTGTAAATCTCAATCTTGTTTGAGTGGTTTTCCTTGAGTGACTAGGGTTTAGTCATATATACTTGAGAAGACAAAGACATGTTGTCTTTGTAGTGTCTGTAATTAGTTTTGATTATAATGGATTAAGTCCTTATTGAGAAGGAAAAATCACCTTGTTATGGTGGAATGGAGGTAACTTTGTTAACAGTGAACCAGTATAAAAATAAATTGTTATTTTTATTGTTCGTTTTATTACTTGTTGAGTTGACTTTAAAAAAACTTTGATTTTTAGAAATCCAATTCAAACACACCTTTCTTGTGTTTCTAGCCACCTTCATATAATTCTACTAGGCCCTAAGAAGGAGTGTCCAAAAAAGGACTAGCACCCGAAGAAGAGGGGTCATCCACGAAAAGGGCTAGCATCTAGTAGCCCAAAAGTGACCGCCCCCAAGGCTAGCACCTGGTAGCCCAAACATGCTTGCCCACAGGGCTAACACCTAGTAGTCCGAAAGTGGCCTCCCCCATGGAAAGCACCTGGTAGCTCAAAATTGGCCACCCCTCAGAGCTAGCACATGGTAGTCCAAAAGTGGCCACCCCAAGGGCTAGAACCAGGCAGCGCAAAAGTGGTCACCCTAGGGCTTGTACATGGTATCCTAAAGTGGTTGCTCACATGGCTAGCACCTAGTAGTCCAACGAGGAGAAAAACCAACTTGTTGGGCTTAGGTTAAGATACCTAATCCAAAGAGTCGGTAAATGAAGGAAACCGTCTCCTCCATGATTCTAGGAAGAACAAGTCTTCCCTTAACCATTTCCTCAGTAATAGAGTTAGGAAAAACCATTCCACTAACTTTGTAACATATGAACAAGAGCCTTTATAAATACCTCAACCCTAAGGTAGAGAGAGACAACTCATAACCTACACAAAATACCTAGAGAAAACAGGGTTTCTCACCACCGTGAGGTAGCCTTAGAACACCAAAAAGTCCTAAGGCCTTTGACCACCCTTATCAGCATCAGGGTGTCACACATTCTATACTTTTTGACAAGTACACCCATGTATTGGCCTTCTTCACTTTTACGTAAGATACCCCTATCAACATCAGAATGTCACACATTCTATACTTTTTAACAAGTACACTCATGTAATGGCCTTCTTCACTTTTACGTAAAATACCCCTTATTGAGATCCAATAAAAATATATCATTAAAATAGACAATAATAAAATAATTGAATATGTTAGCAGCAGAGAAGTATAACTTGTTATTAATTTCTTCAAATAAAAATCTAAAATCAAGACTGAAATTTTGTAACACCAAATAACTAAATAAATAAATAAAGAAAAACTAAAAAAAAAAGAGAGAAAAAACACCCTTTCAAGCTAACTTGCCACTAATTCTAATGTTTAGAATTGTGTCATGAAACATTCATGAGGCATTTGTCCATTAAATCTATTAGTATCATGACAATAGTCATAGATCATATGATTATCTCTAACCCAATTCAATTGTCCCATTTGATCATAACTCAACTGTTTGTATATAGGAGAAGTCCACCAATTTTCACCTATATTTAAAGCACACTGGTTAATACTAATATCTCCTTCCCATCTGCAAGCCCTTGCTCTAAAATGATTATACTTGACAGTAAATGGTGCAAAATTCCAATCTATCTTAACAAGTCCACCCCTAGTAGCCCAATTGTCTGCATTCCATATACTTGTATAAACTCTCATCCCTTGTCTGCTTGGATATGCAATGCCATGTCTTTCATAGTTTCTAAACACTCTAATTGGAATGCTATCAATATAAAACCTGTGACAATAAATAATAAAGATTATGACATATAAAATTAGAAAGGTGCAACCATTAGAAACATGCTATCATAAACTTACACAATTACGGTAGGGTTCCAATGAATAGTATAGTTGTGAAAATCAGCAGTAGGATCAAACCAAAGATAAAATTGTTGCTCCTTGTTTCCATTTCCTTGTGTAAAAATATTTGTATGAACAATATAAGGTTGTTCCGAAATGTTTCCTAAGAACTCAAAATCTATCTCATCGTGTTGATTTCCGGTCGATGATAGCTGCAAATTTTTTTTTCAAGTGAAGTAACACTTTTACCTTAAATATTATGTATATCAAAATACTAAATTCGCTTTTTTTTTATGCGTTCTAATTATTTATAATTAATGAAAAACAAATTTTTATTGGATCTTCGAGTTAAACTTACGAAGAAGGAAGTAGCTGTTCCTGCAGAATTACCAGGCGCGAGTTTGATATGCGATTCAACCGATCCAAATAAAAATGGTATCTTTGTTCGAGCCCCACTTCCTTCGATTCAAATAAAACACTAAATATTTCAACTCAAATATGTCAAATCTAAGACAAACATGAATATAATTAAAGTTCGTGATTTAATTTCACCTGTGATTTTATCTAACGAAAGTTGAAGATTATCATCCCAAAGTAATGCATTTTGAGCACCCCATTCAATAACCATGCTTTTGATAAAATTTGCATCTACTTGAATAATGTTAGGTATAACAACAAAGAAGAAGAAAATAAATATTTTTTCAAATTTTGCCATGTTAACTCCTTGATGTTTTATGAACTTGAAAACTTGCAATTGTATACTCTTTCTTTTGGTTGTTAATGTCTTTATATAGGTGTGACAACTTTATAAATATTCGGAAATTATTATTATTATTATTTGAAAGTGAGAGTCATAAAATTTATGTCAACTACATTGAATCCTCAGTTTTGCATGAATAGATCAGAAAATAAGTTCAAATGGAAACTGCATGGTCCACTTTTTATGCTCAAATGGAAACCGCATGATAAGTTTGGATCTATGCTTCTCCAATAAATTTTAACTTTAATTGATATTTCTCCATAAAAATAATTCACTAAATTTCTAGATCATAACAATTTGTGATTTCTCCCTTTTATATCTCCATTATAACACGAATTATGATAACTATTTTTTCTTTTTTTTGAAATTTTGTTTCTTTAAATTTATATAATGTGAATTTGTTTTCTTTTGTTATTGTATTGCATTTTTAGTTTGTTTAATAATCTTGAATAACCAAAAAAAATTTTAACTTATAATTCAATATCAAAGAGAGAGATATGGAAGAGGAAGTTTTTTTCCTCAAGATTTTTTAAACTCAATTAATTTGTACAGTATGCTTAAATCATAATATTTACAACCCAACTTTTATTAAGAGAATTTTGATCAAACATTTCTTTGAAAATATAGGAAGAAGGTGAAAGAGAATAAAAAGAAGAAAAAAAAATTGTGTATAAAAAGGAAATAATTATGTGAGGAGAGGTACACTATAAAATCTGATATTATATAAGATCTAATGGTTGTTACTCATAATTCATGTGAACCATTTAAATGATGGTTCATTCTAGATGCACCCATTATTATATTATTAAATAATTCTGTGAATTTTGGTTGGCTATTACTAATAATGTCTAACAGATTATCAAATAAAAGCTAGGATGGAGATTTTGGTAATAGCCTAAAATAATGATAATTTATTATTATTATTATTATTATTATTATTATTATTATTATTATTATTATTATTATTATTATTATTATTATTATTATTATTATTATTATTATTATTATTATTATTATTATTATTATTATTATTATTATTATTATTATTATTATTATTTGTTAATTAATTTCAACATCGGCATATTTGATATATTATTATGTTCTTTAATTTGAACGTTAATTTATTTGTGTATGGTAAGTTATTATAATTTAAAAATTTTATTTTTTTTCTGTCTAATATTTTTCTAGCTTCTCTATAGCACTATCAACTTTTCTCTCTTTCTCCTTTTAAACAAAACTTTTAGGATATATATCTACACGGTGGTTATACATCTATACGGTGGTTGTACAACGACGTCTTTTAGGTTGTTCTATCTTTCACCCCTTTAAGGTTGGAGTGTTCTCGGCGTTACGACGTTCGTCACAATTCCTCTGCTATGAAGTTGTCGCAGTTCCTCTACTTGTTTTGTTTTGCTTGTGGATGGATACCTTCTTTGCAGCTTTTTACGACTTGTGTGATTGAGAGTGAATCATCATCAATGTCCAAGTCACATTCATGCTCAAGTGAATAAATAATATAATCTTTTAAAATAGTTGGTTTTCTTTATCTTTGAAACCTTCTTACTTCTATTTTTCTATCATTTGTTCATGATCATTATCAACCGGTTCATCACTTATATGTTCATGTTAAATGTAATTCATTGTTTTGATTTGATTTGATATGATTAGATTTGATTTGAATATTTTGGGCCTTTTATGTTTTGGGCTTTTGTAAACCTAAAACTAAAAATAGGGTGCCTTGCTTTGTATTCAATCACAACATAGAACAGATTTCACAGTTGCAGTTTGAGCAAGTGAAAGTTCTATAAGCAGTAAGAAATCCCACAGTTGTGGGTAACACATTCTCTCCAAATATTTCTTCTCTCATTCTTCTCTTTCTTATTTGTTCTTCTTTTCTTTTGATGTTCTTGATAATTGTTATTACCATTACTATCATATTGTGGGTTTAGTCATCAATCTTGAGGTCAAGATTGAAGGGAATTCTTCATAGGGTGTGAGGTGAATTTCCAACATCTGGTATCTAGAGCTCCGGTTGAGAGATTCAAGGAAGGAAGATAGTGATGGCGATGAACTATCCGAACGACAACTTTCCGGCGACCCTGCCAATTCTCAAGAAAGACAATTATGAGAATTGGTGCAAGCAGATTAAGGTGATTTTCTGTTATCAAGATCTTTGAGATCTTGTGAAGGACGGAGTAACATCGCTTGGGGAGAACGCAACGGAGGCAGAAAAGGCTGCGCACAAAGAATTGAAGAAGAAGGATTATAAAGCACTCTTTATAATTCATCAGTGTGTTGATCCTGATAACTTTGAAAAGGTTAGTGATGTTGATTCAGCAAAAGAAGCATGGGAGATTCTTGAAAAGTCGTTTGGAGGTGCAGAGAAGGTGAAAGAGGTGAGGTTACAAACTCACAAGAGAACCTATGAGTTGCTTCAGATGGAAGACAACGAAAGCATTACAGATTTCTTCACCAGAGTTACAAAGTTGGTGAGTCAAATCAAAGTATGTGGAGAAGCGCTGACAACGAAAGCAGTTGTCTCAAAGATCTTGAGATCGTTGGCTCCAAAATTCGACCGCGTGGTAGTTGCCATAGAAGAGTCGAAAGATCTGTCAGTGTTGACAAAGGAAGAGCTTCAAGGGACTCTTGAGTCTCATGAACAGAGGATGGCTGAGAGAGCTGCAGGGAAGTCGAAAGATATGGCTTTGCAGGCGCAGTCAGAAAAGGAAAGAAAAGGCAAAGGTAGCTGGAATGGCAACAAAGGAGGAAACCAGTCGAATCAGAAGAAACCTTGGAACCAAGGCAACCAAAGAGGTGGTGATGCAGGTAAAGGAAGAGGTGGTGGTCGAAAGCCAGACAAAAGCCACATTCAGTGTTTCAATTGCCAGAAGTATGGTCATTATGCTAGTGATTGTCCAGAAAGGAAGAGAAATCAAGAGACTGATGCAAAGCTGGCGAAACATGAAGAAGAAGAAACGTTGCTAATGGTCACAACAAAAGATGAAGAAAGATTCCAAGATCAGTGGTACTTGGACTCAGGATGCTCATCACACATGACTGGAAGGAAAGATTGGTTTGTCAACATGAAGCCCTCGTCAAAGAACATAGTGAAGTTTGCAAATGACGACACTCTAGCAGCCGAAGGCGTTGGTGATGTTCTGATTACGAGGAAAGATGGAAAAAGGTCAACAATTTCCAATGTGTTGTACATACCAGGCATGAAGAGTAATTTGCTCAGTATAGGGCAGCTTGTCGAAAAGAACTACAAGGTAGTTGTCGAAGACAAGATGATGAGAGTTCTCGACGCAGGTGGTAGATTAATCTTGAAGGCTCCAATGTCTCAGAATAGGACCTTCAAGATTGAACTAAATGTGATGGAGCACAAATGTTTAGCAACTGCAGCCAGCAGAAATGAGTGGTTATGGCATTTTCGACTAGGTCATCTCAACTTTAATGACATCAGAGAACTGAAGAGAAGAAATATGGTTTCAGGATTACCAGAAATCGACATTCCAAGTGAAGTCTGTGAGGAGTGTGTTCAGTCGAAACAACACAAGAATAGTTTCAGCAAGGATGCAGGAAGGAAGTCGAAGGCAATACTTGAAGTCATATACTCTGATGTATGTGGTCCAATCCAGGTGGATTCGATTGGTGGCAATAGATACTTTGTCACGTTTATAGATGATTACAGTCGAAAGCTGTGGACTTATCTCATCAAGAAGAAAAGTGATGTGATTGAGGTATTTTCCAAATTCAAGTCCATGGTCGAAAGACAGAGTGGCCAAAAGCTGAAAATTCTGAGGACTGATGGTGGTGGAGAGTATGTGTCGAAAGAGTTCGATACACTATGTGTAAAAGAAGGGATTGTGCATGAGGTGGTGCCACCTTACACTCCACAGCAAAATGGGATTGCAGAACACAAGAACAGAACCATCATGAATATGGTGAGAAGTATGTTGAATGGAAAGCATCTACCTAAAGAATTATAGGGAGAAGCAGTTTCAAAAACAACATATATATTGAACAGATGTCCGACGAAGAAGCTTGAAGGAATCACACCAGAAGAATGTTGGTCTGGTGTCAAGCCTAGTCTCAGTCACTTGAAGGTGTTTGGATCTATAGCACATAGACATGTGCCAGATCAGTTGAGAAGGAAGCTTGATGATAAGTCAAATCAGATGATCTTGATAGGGTATCATTCGACAGGAGGGTACAAGTTGTTCGACCCGGTGAATAAGCAGGTAGTGATCAGCAGAGACGTAATCATAGATGAGCTTAAAGAATGGGATTGGACTGAGAATACCAAGAAGGATTCAGTGAGAATCTCTTGTGAAGAACCAGCCACTGAAGTCGAAATAGAAGTTCGACAGGAACCAGTTGCAGATGAAGCAGGTTCAAGCAGACCTCGACGAACAAGACACATGCTTGCAAGGTTGCAAGAATGTGTAATTACAATAGATGATGTAGTCGATGAAGAGGGTGAGTTGGTACATTATGCTTTCTACGCAGATGTCGAATCAGTCAATGCAGTTGAGGCATTGAAAGATTCGAAGTGGATGAAAGCAATGATTGAAGAGTTGGAATCCATCGAACCAGTCAATGCAGCTGAGCCCAGATTGCAACTGTCGAAGGATTCAGATGAAGATGATGTCGACCCAACCCAATACAGAAGACTTATTGGGTCACTTAGATACCTTTGTCACACAAGGCCTGACTTAGCATACAATGTTGGTATGGTAAGTAGATTCATGCAGAAGCCAAAGGTATCACACCTAGCAGCGGCGAAGAGGATACTGAGGTATCTAAAAAGAACTCTCGACTATGGAATTTTATTTCCAGCAGCTGATGAAGGAAAAGAATGCAAGTTAGTGGGATACACAAACTCTAGTTGGTGTAGTGATGCTGAGGATCTAAAATCCACAGCTGGTTATGTGTTTATGTTAGGTGGAGCACCA